ACACATGTGACGGTCCGTCCTGCCATTTCGTTACGAAGTTCAGAGAGTCGATTTTCAGTACCCAATTTCAGATTTTCTAAGTGTTTTGCAACGAGACCCTGCGACGGTCCGTCGTGCCCATGACAGTCCGTCGTGGGGGTCCGTCGCCTCAGCCTGTTTTTCCAGAAATAAAATCTGCTGTTCAAAACGACTAAACAGGTCGTTACATCTTTTCATCACTTCTGCATTAATAGCTGGTAATTTACCTGCTGAAGACCCCATTAGACTCTTGTAGAACATCACTTCTGCATTAAAGCTGGTAATTAATTATTATTACTACTATTATTATTAATAATATTTTTATTACTATTATTATAATTATTATTTTTATTATTATTATTATTATTATTATTATTATTATTATTACTATGATTACTATTATTACTATTATTATTATTACTATTATTATTGTTATTGTTATTGTTATTATTATTATTCTAATAGTACTATTATTACTATTATTATTATTATTAATTTTATTGTTATTATTATTATTACTATTATTATTATTATTACTATTTTTATTATGATTATTATTATAATTATTATTTATTATTATTTTTTTAATTATTATTATTATTATTATTATTATTATTATTATTTCTATTATTATTATTATTATAAGTATTATTATTGTGATTATTACTATTACTATTATTATTATGATTATTATTATTATTACTATTATTACTATTATTCCTTTTATTACTATTAATCCTATTATTACTATTAATATTATTATTGTTGTTATTATTATTATTATTACTATTATTATTATATTATTATTATTATTACTATTATTATTATAAATATTATTATTATTATTATCATTATTGTTGTTGTTGTTGTTGTTTTTATTATTATTATTATTATTATTATTATTATTATAACTATTATTATTATTATTATTATTTTTATTACTATTATTATTATTATTACTATTATTATTATAAGTATTATTATTATTGTTATTATTATTATTATTATTATTATTATTCTTCTTATTATTATTATTATTATTATTATTATTATTTTAACTATTATTATTATTATTTTTTTTATGATTATTTTTTTTAATCTTTTTGGTAAATAATTTTATTAATTACCGAGTCAAAACAATACAAAACAAGCAGCTATCACAACATGCTTAACCAAAATAAATAACTTTTTAACACCTACACTACTAACTATAACTCAAGTCTTCCTATGAATAATAACATTTTTAATACACCTACACTACTAACTATAACTCAAATCTTCCTATGAATAATAACATTTTTAATACTAGTAGAAGATCTAGCAATAGTTGCATAGGCTATCTTCTTAACTACTTTATCTATCAAGCAACTCTTGTCTTAAAAAATTCTCTTAATTCTCTCATTCCACAAAGCATAAACTCCTTCAGCAAGAATCATCTTGAATAGTTGTGCTCTTGTAGTCTTTCCTTTCCCATTTTGAATACTCAATTGTATAAACTGTGCCCATGTCCATGGCCTGTTATTGTGATTACCAATCAATTTTAATAGTCTTTCCCAAACCTCTCCAGTATAGTGACATTGTAGGAACATATGATCCAGACTTTCATCCATATTTTTACACAAAACACAAGTTTTATCAAGTGTCAATCCCCATTTAGCAAGTCTATCCACTGTTGCTAGCTTCCTATTCAACAAAATCCATAGTGTAAAGGTAGCTTTTGGCCTGGCTGCATTTTTAAACATTAGACATCTCCATTCAGGCTTAGTTTTCTCCCCTCTCAGATAATCATAGATTTGTTTCATCATCCCTTTTCCCTGCTTTGATTGAATCTTATCAACTGTTTGTTTAACATTCATTATTTTTTCCTGATCATCCAACTTGCTTGATCTCTCTTCTGCCATTCATTCTGCCCTTTTAAGTAATATGCATGTATCCATTTGATCCAAAGCTTGTCTTCTTTGTTTGCTAAGTCCCAACAAAGCTTGGCTATTGCTGCTCTATTCCACACTTGCATGTTTATCAGCCCCATACCTCCTTCATTTTTAGGCCTGCAAACTCTCTCCCATGCTATTAGAGCTTTTTTAGTGACATGCCCTACTCCTGACCATAGATAACTTCTACACAAACTCTATATTAACTTGATTATCTTAGCTGGAAAGATGAATAATTGAGCCCAATAAGATTGGACACCAAATAACACTGTCTGAACAAGTTGAGTTCTACCTGCATAAGATAGTTTCCTAGCTGTCCATGAGTTGATTCTATCCATTATTTTCTCAATGAGAGGATACCATTGCAGCACTAACATCTTCTTGGTTGATAATGGCTCTCCCAAATATTTGAAAGGAAGTTCCTCCATGTTATATCCTAGTTGTTGAACAATCTGTTGCTTCACTTCTATCTGAACCCCTCCACAGTATATTGAGCTTTTATTTAGATTAGCTCGTAAACCTGAAGCTTGAGAAAATTGAGAGAAACACAGTTGGATAGCTTTAATAGATTCCAGATCTCCTCTAGCATACAGTAATAGATCATCTGCAAAACATAAGTAAGTGATATCAAGTTTAGAGCACCTAGGATGATACTTGAACTGTTTATCATCTTTAAGCCCCTTAAGAAGCCTACTAAGATACTCCACAGCTATAGCAAACAAGAAAAGAGACATTGGATCTCTCAATCCTTTAGCTGCTTCAAAACTTTGAGAAATCTGTCCATTAACTACTATGGAGTAGTTCACTGTTTTGACACATTTCATTATATCCATTGCACAAACATCTCTGGAAAACCAAGACCAAACATTACTTGCTCCAAATAATCCCATTCCACTGAATCGTAAGCTTTCTGCAGATCAATCTTCAACATGCTTCTAGGAGAAATATGCTTCCTAGTATAAGCTTTAACCAGTTCATGAGCAAACACTATATTATCAACAATCTTTCTTCCTGGAATAAACCCTGCCTAGATATCACAAATTGTACTTTGAATCACACCATGTAATCTGTTAGTTAACACTTTGGAGATGATCTTATACATCACGGTACAACAAGCTATTGGCCTGTATTCTTTCACAGTTTTAGGATACTGAGCTTTTGGTATGAGAGACACTAGAGTACAATTGAATGCTTTATGTAGCTTGCCTGTTGTGAAAAAAGCTCTTAACAACCTCAATGATATCCCCTTTAATGATCTGCCAAGTATGTTTAAAAAAGAAAGCATTATAACCATCTATACCTGGTGCCTTATCATTCCCTATGGATTTCAAACCATCATAAGTCTCTTGTTCTGTTACTGCAGTACACAATTGTAATCTCTGCTGCTTTGTCAAGGTAGGCCCTCTTTTCATCACCTGAGCATTAATGGCTGGTAGCTTACCTGCTGAAGTTCCCATAAGACTCTTATAAAACATCACAAACTCATCTTGAATTTCCTGTGGATCATACAACATCTTACCCTTCAAGGACATAATACTTCTTATTTGTTTATTTTAAGTTCTCTCCTTTATAACTGAGCTGAAAAACTTATTATTTGCATCCCCTAATTGTATCCATTTTATCCTTGACTTCTGCCTCAAAGCACTTTCTTCTATCATTGACTATTTTTCAAGTTTAATCAGCAACTCTTTTTCCTGCACAATTAACTCATCAGTAATTTGTTCATTTAGCTGGTCTTGAACTTTTGCAAATTCTAATCTAGCCATCTAATCTGTTTCCCAATATACTTGAACTCTTTTCTATTCAACTGTTTTAAAACATGCTGAAAATCCTTCAACATACACCACACTTGCTTCATTATGCTATGTCAATACTCATTTTTCCAAATAGCTTCCACCATTTCTATAAATCCCTCATGCTCAGTCCAAACATTGAAAAATTTAAAACTAATTTTCCCATGCTGCTGAGTTTTTTGAAGTAAGATCATCATAGAGCTATGATCAGATATGCTTGGATTCTCATATTCTACATTAACATGTCCCCATTTATCCATCCATTCATCATTTCCAAATGCTCTATCAATTCTACTAGATATTCTACCCCTCCCACATTGCTTGTTAGTCTAAGTATAGTAGTTACCTGTCCACTGCAGTTCATTAACCCCCATATCTCTCACACAATCACCAAAATCTTTTATCTCATTATTAGTAACAGGAACTCTATCTAACCTATCCTTAGTAGAAAGAATAACATTAAAATCTCCTACTATGAGCCAAGGTTGAGAAATATCTTTGGACATTGCATTCATTTCTTGCCACAGACTTTTCCTCTGTTCAACTATATTAAATCCATACACCACAGTCAATATAAACTGATAGCCTTTACTTTTTTCATTAACCTGACAATGCAGAATTTGAGCTGAGCTATTAATCATCTTGATCTCATACCAGTTATCATCCCGTATAAACCAAATTCTTCCATTAGGACTATCAAAATAGTTATGTAGTATCTGCCACCCTGGTGCTATCCCTTTAAAAATTGAGTTCACATTTTTGTCGTTAACTCTTGTTTCAACTTATCCTGCCAAAGTTGCTTTATTCTTCTGTAAAAGCAGCTTAATCTCCTTCTGCTTATACCTTTTATTCATACCCCTCACATTCCAGAACAACCACTTCATCAACAAGTCTTTGATGCTCCACCTCTATCAATAGATAGTGAAGCCATTTTGTTATGCATAAGACTCTCAAAACCATTACTTGTTGGTATAGCTTTTAATATAGGAAAGTCAGCCAAACTCAATTCCAGTTGTCTATCTAGTTTCTTTCCTATCTCCTGTCCTTCCTCCTGCTTATTCTTCTGTGGACTAAGATTGTTCTCTTGTCTTTGTTCATCCATCTTCTCTTGCTCAGTGAAATTGGACCTTTATACTGCTAAGTTTAAGTTACTTTCTTCCATGGCCTTCTTCTCTTTGGAATCTCCTCTTTTGGTTCAGGCTCCACTTGACATAGGTGCCCTATCTTCTGGCACTTATCACAGTATCGAGGCCTCCAT